GACTCGTATTGATTTTCTACTGATTATCGTAGTTGAGAACTTATGAATCTTTGAATTTTTTTACAAAGATGATCAAATTTGTTCGTCATATGATTATTTATATCGGTTTCGTTTAAAAATTTATTAAACTTCATGCTGTAAACTCCTTTTTCCATTTTATCACTAATATTCTTCACATCACCATGTAGGATGCTATATATTTTGTTAATAACATCTAGAAATGGCGATTAAGTTCTTTCTTACAGCAGTCTTCAAATAGCTATTTTATCTATATAATGTTGTGAAGAGTTGCCTGCAGTAATGTCGGTCATTGTCGTCAAATGACAGCATTGAAATAAGTCATATTTACGGACAATTGGCTCTGTTGATTGAGCTCTCAGTTGTATAATAACAGGAATTTTATGACATATCTCATTGTTATATAACATCTCATAAAGTAATAGAAAGAATTTAATTCTTCCATTCACAAGCTGCGTAGTAATGATAGTAAATTTTAACGTTTAATTTGATCTCTTTTGGTATCTTAGTATATGCTTTTGTTTTATCATCTAAAACGCTTGTATGTCAAAGATTTGCATCAACTAGAATGAAGATACGAAGTGTAGTTTCGTGTAGTAAGAAGTGTTGAAGTCGAAGTATTAGTTCTAAAGTTTCCGATGGTATAGATCGTCTACACTTTGCCATTCTTATAAATGGAATATGATTTAACTCGATTTATTAATTCATAACAAAAATTATAATTGTCGAGATTTTCTAAGGATATGAATTTTCGATAAACACTCACCTTTATTAAAGATAGTTGCTTCAACATCGATCATTGCATTAAATAACCGATGAACGCATCCAAACGATCTTATTACAATAGGTTAAGTGTGTCTAAAACTATGAATATATTGTTGGGTTTCTTTCAGATGAACTATTTGCATAGTATCTGTTCTTGCCATGATAAGCAAGTTAAATAGCTATTACATATGTGGCAATTACTATTTCACAGAAAGAATTTTGATTTATGAAAACACTTCTAGTTTCTAATAAAAAAAAATTTGATTAGCATTCTTTGAACATTCGGAAATATATGTATATTGGATTCGTCACTTGTTAAACTCAAGTTCCAATCTGCATAATATATTGTGATAATAATGTATCCCATATTTCTGTTACTAGTATATAAGAGTTTTTTGTATAATGATTTTTATTTATTTGATTTCAGTTTTTATTGCTTTCTATCTGTTTATCATAAATGCATTTAGAGAATTAAATAAAATTAAAGTATAAGTTGAGTTTTTTTTCGAGATTTTTCTTTCATGTTATTTAATGTTCGGGTATTAAGCTTATAAACTTTGTAAAATATCGTTCAATAAAATTCTGCTATTGAACAGTATAATTTGTGAAAACAAGCTTTCAAGTATATAATACTGGCATTGATTAAGAAAAATATGTCAAGCGATTTCCAGACTTTAGTCATCAATTGTTTTCCATTGAAGAAAATCAGTATTTTCATATTGCATAGTAATTCAAGCATGAATGTATGGTAACTTGTTTGTGTTTTCTTCCATCAGTTTATTGTTTTCTAAACCATCAAAATATCTAACTTTCTTTTACAACTGTAATTTTTTTTTGCTTATCGATTTTTCTCATGTATAATGAAAGTAATTTTTTAACTATGCATGAAAATTTTTCTTTAACCAAACATTGTTCAATTTTTAATTGTGAGTCTGCGTATGTTAATAAATAAAATTTGCTTTCATACTTAATAATGATAGAAAAAAATTGGTAATATTATGCTTCTTGTTTTCTGATGATTCAAATTGCTTCTAGTTGAATATATCAATTTGGTTTGATTCCATTCAAATTGGCTTTATTATTATACCGTTTGGTAACATCTCTTGTTTAAGTTAATTTAAATATACAATTAAAGAATTCACTTCTCAATCAGCAAATATTAAGTATTGCAACATTTTTACAAATCATATTATAAGAGAGTGTTTTAAAAATGATGTTCTGTCATTCTTCTATGCTTTTATTTTCTTTGTAAATATCAACAAAATTATAATTTCTTCTCATGAAGGAAGCTTTCTAACTTAAAAATTGCTTTTGAGTTCAGACTCTGTGCATAAGCTAGACCTCAATGAGATATTAAAAACTGGAAAAGGATAGGAGTCTTTAGGCCTTCCCTAGACAGTTATAGCCATTTTACTGAAATTTTAGCTTTTCACTCAGTATGTACAAAAGAATCGAATGACAATATTTTGACCTGAAATTTAGCCCATAAAAAGGTCTACTTGTAACTAGATTGTCCTGATAATTTCAGCTGAAAATATCGCCTTCAACATATAAATAGTTGAAAAGTTCGTGTTTATATCTAAAGGTTTTATTGAATATACATATTTGTTGAATTAGTGCAGAATATAAAAAGTAATATATTTAATGGGTTTGCAAGCCAATTTATTTGTAATCTTTATAAATAGGAACTTTTAAAAATTCATTCATATATAAATATATATCTTGTTGAAGTCTCTTATAACTAGAATTACTATATATTAAAACAATTAGAACAAAAATTGAGGAAATCGACACAAACTTATTATTATTTAAAAATAAAATTCAATTCAAATTTCATATGATTATAAATCAAAGCAAGATTATGTTTGTAAATCATACTATTTTAATCAATTTTTATAACATTGTCATATTTTTTATGAGAAATACACGTTCAAATATGACACGAAAGGAATAAGCATCAAAGTTCAACACAAGTCAAGTTATGAAAAACTGATCCATGTCGGATTCTAATTAGTATAATTATAAAAGCTATACATCGTCATTGCATCCTGTGTTGCTTTTTTTGTTAATATATTTTACCTCTTTGTATGCTGTTGAATTTAGATCTAACCGTTGGACGATTGTAAATAGTACACAAGCAAAGATTGTATATTGTCAAAACTAGCGAAATTATGTACGAACACTACTTTTATATTTATTCAAAGGAAGAATAATAAAAAATATTTTAATATGATTTGGTTTTATTATTCAGTTATAGTGCAAATTGAAAAACAAGATCGTATTAAAAATAAACAAAAAAAATTTCTGTTAATGTAAAGCTTGAGAACAAAAAACAAATTAGAATTATTCAAAATAGTAAATACATTACGCATTAATTTCATACTTTCAAAGGTATTTTTGTTTCTGGTAAAACTTATGAGAATGAAAACAAATATGAATAGTCACATAAAAAATTTTTATAGAATATTCATATTTACAATGATACATTCAAAATCGTTTATTTAAATTGCTACAACATAACCAACAATTATTGTAAATAAGTTTCATTCAAAAAATCTTCTTTTTCTCTCTCATTGTTATCATCATTATTATTCTAGTTCAAAACTTCTTACGTTATATTCAAAATCGCATAATTCGAATACTATCAACAAAGATTCAAATTGAATATTGTTTTTCTCTTATATATAAATTCTAGAATTGATATAGAACTGAATAACATAATTGAAATACACATAGATAGCAGCGCATGTCAGAATCATGCATGAGTGCAGCAATGACATTAAATTAAGAAAATTGATAGGGACAATGTTTAAACTTCAAGACGATATTCCGAATAGTAATACATCATTATCAATAGAATACTTTATTTACATTCATAAAATAGCTTTTTGAATTGATCTTTTTCATTCTCTTATGAACATACCGATAATAAATCATATTTTTTCAAGAACAAGATTTTATTTCATGTATGTTAAGTTCTGTCTATCATGTGACATATTTGAACATGATTTTAAAAATAACTCATGGAAGAAAAATAATCTTATTCAGAGATCGACATTATAATTTTGATTGCGTTGAGTATTATCACTTCCGTTCTGATCAATTTCTATCACAAAGAATAGCAAAAAGTCAAGCAAAAGTACTTCCACAGATTACACACACATTCTACATCCATGCTACTATGTCAACCAATGTTTATATAGAGCGTGTATAATTTGAAGAAGAACCAGAAAAAAATTATTAAAAAAATTTCAGCATCAAATACAATTTTTCAGCTTCAGTTAGTTTTATATTATTAATGAACACATTATAATTTAAATAAATACACTCATCTATCTAATTTCGGATTCTATTTTGAAAATTTTCTCGATGTTATTATCGAGTAATTAACTAGACGAGAATGAATAGTTTTTAAAATTTCGTCAGATTGTCAGTCTACAAGAAAAACATTCAAAATGATATTTTTACTGAAAAATTCCTAGAATAAATTTAGATATAAATATGAATTCAACTGTATGAGAAATATTCACATGAGATGTCTTCAAATTGTGAAACAGATTGACTTGCTTCTCTTGATTTGACAAACCTAACAACTCTAATCCCAGTTCAATTAGCAAATTCTCGTATTTTGAGATTAAACAAAACATAATTTATATTATTGTTTTACCAAAAATGATGAACTACGTTATAGTGTTCATTCGACTATTTCAACCATTGCATACAAACTTTAGAAAAAAAAAATGACTTCTGTAATTTTTATTTAAACAATGTCAAAATGAAATCGAATAAATTTTATATAATAATTAAAACACAATTATATTTGTTGAATATATTCGATCAAATAAAATGAACAGTGTAGTTTTTTTTATTATTATTGAACTTCAAAGAAAAGTTTTATTTTTCTTTTATTTTCGATTATTAACAACAAAAAACAACATAGCATATACAAATAAACATAGCTCATTTGTTTTTATTTTTCACAAGCATAATTAAATAAGATTTTCTTTTAGTATTATAAAATATCAACAAAAAAAAAAAAATGAAAATAATTCGATCGTCAAATTTTTATACATGAAAATAGAATGTTCGAAAAAAGAAATTGAGATTAAAACGAAGAAGAAAAAAATAGAGTCAAGCAACAACAAAATTAAAAACCAAACAATACATTTACAATAAAGAATATTTTTACCATTGCTATTATCACTCATATGTTTATCTTATTCACGCTTGCCAAATAACATGAGAATATACATAAATATATAAATAACATCAAGATAGAGCATAACTGATGCAAATACATGATCTTCGGGATTTATTTCATGACGTTTTCCACCTAGAAAAAGAAAAAGAAACCAATTAATTATCATCTGTTTATGTTATTAAATTTAAACTTACCCATAATCAATTGCGTATCAACAGCCAAGAACTAATTTTAAAAAGAAAACAGAACAAATAAAATTTTATTTTTCTCAATTAAATAAATCTTTTATTTACAATCGAAAAAGCTACAGCTCCAATACCAGCATAAACTGTATACAAAATCTAAAAGAAAAAAAAAAACAACAAAATATTTCAATAAATATTTATTATTTCCTTAGCTTGCTTTCTTTTTTTTTTTAACTTACTCTTGAATAAGTAAAAATACAAGCAAAACCAAAACCCAACAATGCCAATGAAATAACAAATAAAACTCCCGTACATGATGTAAAATCAAATTTTGTTTGAAATGAAAATATTGTTACACCAAAACAAACAAAACATGTTAGACCAACAGCAATATATACAGATTCAATTTTAAAATATGCTGAAATCATACCCATCTAAATTAAGAAAAGAAAAAAATAATGAAAGTTATTTCTTTCAAAATTCATATTCAATAATTATACCATATAACCCATTGACAATGTCTAAGATGAATAAAAATAAAAATAAACAAATTATTTAATTAAAATAAAACATTTTTTTCTAATTACCAAAAGACTAAGTAAAATAAGATTAACTGGAAATCGCCGTCCAATACGTTTGCAACAAGCTAATGTTATATATGTTACAATAAATACACCATAAGATGTCCAATAAGCCCATTGACCCTTAGGTGATCGTACATAGTCGCGAACTGCAGGTCTACAAAATAAAGTACATACATATATCTTCTTTGATATGTGATAATAAAAGTAAATTATAGAATAAGAACAATCTTTTAAGTTAAACAGAAATTCTAGGCTCTTATAAAATTTTAATAATTCTCGCTTTTTTTTCCAATCAACATAAAATGCTTCAATTCATATCAAGTTTTTATTGAACGTGCGGGCCGAGGGATTGACACTCCTTCTCAAAACGATTATTTCGATCATGAGAAACAGCGTATTACTGCATAAGTTTTCACCGTTTTCCGTAAGCTTGTAAAACGATAAAAATCGCATGAGAAACGATAACCGCTTGCTAACGTAAAAACGGGCTGACAGATTACGATGAAAATAAATTGGAATAATATTTCGTTTTATAGATGTTTCAGGCTGTTTAAGGTGCTGTTTCCGACGGTCGGAATCATCGTTTGGGCAACAATCTGCCATTGTTTCTCTTACTATTTTCACTATTTTACGAGCTTATGGAAAACGATAACGTGCATATATCATTCTATATCGTTTACTACCGTTCACTTCGACGTGAGTTCCGAAGATCGGGTTGTTATACTAGGTACTATGTAATGGTGCTCCGAAAAATTAGTGTTCGCCCTTCCGGAGTTTTAAAGCACCCTCCGCGGAAGATCGAATTCGGACACAACATTCATTCATATGTTATGATCGATTGATCTGAGATTAATTTTTAATCTATATTCATTAAAATTTATTTTTCTTGAAATTAATTATCGATATATTCTTAATTTAGAGTGATTTATTTAATCAATATATATAATAACATACGTAAAATGAAATATTGAAACAATACCAAATGTGACCAATAATTGAACCAAAAGAATGGCATAGACCTAAGATTATATTCAACATTTTTTGTTTTGTTTTCTTTTTCAAAATTTTAATCTAACAAACCTTTCGAATAAAAGCAAGACGAATTTTTTTATTTTCAAGACCATTAAATTTACCCCATCCACCACTTGATTGTGCAGCTATTTCGTCAAACAAATAATAAATATTACATTAGATAAGATCAATATAAAAATTCTCTTATAAACAAACTGATTTACGAATTAATATTCATAAAGATAATTCTTAGCTCAGGTTTAATTAGAATATCTCGATAAAAAAAGAAACAATGTTTACCATGTATTACGTCAGAAAGAAAATGCTTTCTGATTAGTTTTAAATTCTGACGTATATAAAAGAAAACCGAGCGAGTCAAACCTTGAATATTTTAACATTAGTAAAATTAGTTTTTAAATCCACTAGACAGACAAAAAACGAGTCTTATTTCAACAACAAAAAAATACTAATATTAAATATTAAAAATCGTCAATTGTCATAAAATGTATATACGATGTCTCAAATTCCATTTTTATATATAGATCTTTTAAAGAATAAAAACAAAAAAAAATAAAAGTCACGTTTTCTAAATAAAAAAATATATATAAGTTGATTAATCTTCTTTTAGGAGGAACAGGTTTATAAAGACTTGGTTTCAAAATGTTCATTGCTATTAAAATAAAAATACAATGTAATTCTTTCAACAAAGTACACATTTAATCAAAATAGATAATTTCAAGGTAATACCGAAATTTTAATGTAAACAAAAATGTAAAAAAAAATAAAATCTATACTCATTAGAACATATCAACTAATTGACAAAAATCCATCTAATGATCTTGTATAGATAAAATTCTTTGGTTTTTTTTCTTTTTGTCTAAAGCCTTATATCTCAATATTTTCTTAGTGTATCTTAATAAATTAGCTTGACAACTAACCCACAAGTGGTAGACTACGTGGCACCACAGGAGGCGACGGTTGAGATGATACTTGATTTCGCTCAGGATTGATGGCTGTATTTGGATCAACATATGGAGGCACAGGTTTATCGTCTAAAATAGAGGAAAAAAGATAACCTTTTGCTCAATAACGAATATCTTCTAAAAATAACAACATGAAATTTAACATGAAAAGTAAAAGCCTTAGAATAATATGAAAATTATGCAAAAAGAGAAGAAATAATTCGTTTTAGTTATTTATTCAGGAAACCACACTAATTGATTAAGATGTTTTTGAACTTACAGTTGTTTGTTCGTAATTAGGACTAGAAAAACTATTCAAGAAATTTGCTCCTATTATAAGCTTAGTTGATTGAAATACGGACATTTTCTGTTCAGCATTGTAAGCATGCATACATAGATTGTTGCATTTGAAATGCAATATTTTATCTTTTAAAATACTCATAGATAACAATGTTACATGCATTTTATTAAGTCAACATGAAATGAAATACGGAAATGTTGTAGAACTCATATCGTAAGAATATTTATCTGATGATATAATTTTTGTAGAAAAGGTTTCTCAGTGTGCATATTTTACAACATTGAAATCTTACAGGTTTTCATCCTGTTTTACAATTTTCTACATTTTTCTTAGTTTACTTTTTGTATTTTTACATTCCACAAATTTTTTTTTGAAGTATTCTTTTACTGCTACTTTAGGCGTACTAATGGGTTTTGCTCTTGATAAAATAATAAAAAAAGAAAAAGCTCCTACAACTAATAATAGTTATGTCCTACAACTTTTATTTGATTTTGTTTTAAAAGCAACAAGTACTAATGAATGCATAGTTGACTATGACTATTTCAAAAAAGCAATTTGACTTTTCAAAAAAAAAAGCCAATCTTGCAATTCAAGTGTAACAAGTGATGTTTGCCAACTTATCGTTCCAAACATAAAATGTTCGTGTCATAATCAACTACACTCATGAGAAGAAATCCTAGAAGAATTTTTGTTTCTCCAATCGCATATAGTCTGAATCACAGACAACATATGAGCTCAAAAACTTTTAATCATTTGGTGAAATTCCATTATTAGCAAAAAAGAATTTGCCATAAATCGAACGATAGTACAAGAAGCAAAAAAATCAATCCTATTTAACCCTTTGACAATGAACTTATTTTTATAACCATTAAAGAAATCTATTATTAACATGGTATACTTTCAAAATTTTTTGGCGATCATAATTTTTAATTTAAAAATGAAATGTTTTTACCAGTGGTAACTATATTAGGACACAACAAACATTCAAAAAGGTCTGTTTTACTATATTCCGACTTCGCCCTATTGTTAAATTTTAGACATGTAAATTTTGCGAGTTTCGCCATCAAAAAGTTAAGAACAAAAGAAAAGCTATATAAAGCAATAAAAACTAAAAAAGAAAAAAAAAATATATATATATATACCGAGTGTTGATGAATTTTGTGCATAAGTGTTTGGTTGTGGTGGATGTTGTCCAAAGAAACCTGGTTGTTGAGGTGGATATGATGGATAAGTACCTTGTTGTGATGAATGATACATATTTGGATCTTGATTCATTATTTACGTCGATAAATTGAATTGAAGATATAATCCGATTTTAATATTTTAATAATGAAAATAATTTTAACTTATAATAGAATAATAAAAACCGAAAGAAACTATCTTTTAAAATAATGTAAGAAAGAGTTTTTATTATTATTATTTTATTCCGCAAGAAATCTACAATCAATATATGAATCATGAAAAAAAAAGTACAAAAAGCGTAATATTATTAGAAACAACATTCCTGATCTTTTCGCATTATTACTATTGTATTACAAACACTTATAAATATGTAGGCAATTGTCGTCAAATACTAAAAATTAATAATATTATTACTCTTGTTTTTTTCTCCGTTTCCAACGCTAGATTTTTTTTTTCTCCAACAGACAGATGCTCGATGAGACTAATGCGTCGCTTCAACGTATTCTTGGCTTGGTCAAACTCTTTGACTAAAAAATTTATCAAGAAAGAGAAGGGAGGAAAAAAAAAGGAAAAGAGGAAAATCTCGTAGGCATATACTATTACAAGAATAAAAGAGCATTTTTTTTGTTAAAATCATAAGCCAATACATTTCTCACCAGTGACATATATTTAAATACATAAAAAAAAAGGAATATAATAATCATATGTTCATTAACAATATCAATATAATTTCGTTATTCTGTCGAGAACTATTTCAATGAAAGTGTTTCATTTGATTATAAGTTAAATTTAGGTTTGTTTTTTTTGCATATCTAAATTATCGCACAAGACCAATTAGTTTGAAAGCATGAATTCAATGCGTAACTGAAAAAGTAGAATCGGCTAACTAAATGTGACTCATCTAGGATTTTACAGCATACTGTCGTTTCTGTTCCCATAGTTTCATCTTTATAATGAGCTTAAAGAAGTCGTTTTTCAATATGATTTTTATTACACTATTAGAATGACATAAAAATATTTGAAATTGAATCATCACATGTATAATAAATCATTTCTTGATAGTGGCAAAATTGATTTTATAACAATAGTATCAATTATATATAGGCGACATCTAATGACTAGAATGAAACTCATGCCAAAATCATTTAAAAACAACTATCGCAGAGCAAGGACACTAACGCTCCTCTTGTTTTGGGCGAATAGTGACATCCTCGTTACGTGCGTCGTATTATCAAGAATAAATGGTACCAATAAATTAGCAGTACTCATCACCATCCTTTCTAGGATAAGAGAGATAGTCTCGTTGTTAGCTACTACTATACTGATAATTTGTATCTTACATAATATAGCACACGTAGCGAGGGCGCCACTACTCATCGAAAACAATAAGGGCGCTAATGTTTTAGCTCGGTCTTTAATTCTATAATGTTATTTGAAAAATTTATTTAAAATATTTCTAAAAAAAATAGATTTTAAAAAATGCTTTTATTTTACACTGACATTTATAAGTTTCTAATGATTGGTTTATGATTTAGAGGTTTTTTACGTCAACAAATTTTCTTATGGTCGTTTTTATTACAAAGACCTTTTTTTGTTTTTTGATAATATCGCTTTCTGTTTTTTTCTTCTTCTTCTTCTGAAGATTAAAAAAAAAAA